TGTGGGCTTTGATGTTTCTCAGCTAGATGGCCGCTTGTATGTCTTCAAGCCTTTAAGACCCCAGACGCTATATCTTTTGGTAGCCGGGCACCATCAGCTTTCTTCACCACATTTGCTTATGTTCACCTTTTTCTTCAGCAATCATGTTGGGAAGGTGTGCATCCTCTATCTATGCATTTTTGTAAGCCAGCAATTTTGGGGATCCAATTTTTATACTGCCCATTTATATCAACCCAGTGCTCTGAGGAGACAAGCATGTTCTTTGATATGAAGAATCTTCATTCCAGTTGGAACCTTGTGATTCTGCATCCATAAGGAAAGTCAAATCAGAACAGGCCATCCATAAATCCAGCAGCAATAGGCACCAATTCACAGGCTCAAAAATCTCTTCATCTGGTTGGGTTATGGTCAACTCAATGTGGGCTACCCCACTTAGCCTCTCCAGGGTGCCCACTGGCTGGCTCCTCTTTTGACCATGGGAAAATTTCTCGTCACTAATTCTCAACAACTCTAGTCCTATAGGGCTAGGTCATGCCATGGCTCGAGTTCTGAACAACTCTTTAAACTTCAGGCCAGCCAACACACTCTCATCTTCTCTTCTAGTCCCTGTGAACCAGGTCCACAGTGCCAGTGGCCAGACTCAACCCTTCTCTCTATTGCTGCATTTCTTCCACTTCCATTCAACAAGTGGATCCAGGTAACTAATTACCTAGCAGGCACTTCAGGCTACTCGCAGGCTCCCTTCAACGTTCAGTACTAGAAAGGATAGTTCCTTATGGCTCCAGATTTTTGCAGTTTCAGGTGCAAACCACTAGCTCAAAATTAACAAAATCAAACAGTCCCCCCTTTTTTTTGCCTTCAGTCTGTCAACAACTCTCTAGGCAAGTCTCTTCAAATACAAATGTACTGAGGTACTGGGGGCGGGGGCTTCTCTTTTCAGATTCTTCTTTGCAAGCACGTTTTTTTAAAAAAATAATTTTATTAGGGGCACATACAACTCTTACCACAATTCATACATACATCAATTGTGTAAATCACATTTGTACATTCATTGCCCTTGTCATTCTCAAAACATTTGCTCTCCACCTAAGTCCCTGGCATCAGCTCCTCATTGCAGGCATGTTTTATACCCATTTAAAGATCCAATTTTATGGCTCAAGGCAGTGAGCTTACAAACTATCTGTGTTAGTCTGGGTACTTTAGAGAAACAAAT